GTGGGTTGAAATTTACTTTTTTTTTTTAAGGCTAAGGATCTTCCTTTACAATCTCCTGAGCTTTAATGTTTGTGTTGAGAAACCTGCAATGATTCTGATAGGTTTACCTTCAGAAATGATTTCTTGTCTTTCTCAGATTTCAACATTCTGTCCTGGAGTTGGACTTCTAGGGTTTTGACTATGATATCTGTGGGACGTTCTTTTTTTTTATTAGTGCATATTTGCCGTATCTAATCATTACGGGCGTTGTGGGGAGCTGGTACATATATATAACACACCGCAACCTTTTTCTGTTTGTTTTTCATCCCCTACCCTCCTCTCCCTCCCTGCTCCCTCCAACTTGTGGTTCCCTTCACATTTTCAAAAGCTCTATTTTCATCATTTTTCTCCTTCAATTCTTTTTTCCACCTCCCCTCCCTCCCCACTTTCCTTCCCTCCATTTCTTTTTTCTTTATTTTAAAGAGAATAATGAAAACAATAACAAAATAACAACAATGCACAAAAACAAAACAACACAGAAGCAATAAAAGTGATACAGGGTTTCAAAGCAGAATCATAGGAATCAACAGTGGTTGTTATATTACATATTATAACCTTCAACAAAGTTGCTCAGATTACCAGATGTAAGAATGCAAGAATGATCAAACCAGTGAATAAAAAATAATAAAGAGAATAAAAAATAATGAAAGGAACAGTTAATGCTTATATTTTTTTGACCAATTTTGCATGCATATGTGTGGTCATCTGAACAACTAATTTGAAGACAATATTATGCAGTATAACAATCACTGGTGAATTCGTTCCCTGCATTTCTTGTTCCCCATCCATTTGAAAAAAATGTCTGCCTACTTCCTATTTGTCTATCTTCTATTTTGCTCTGTATTTATACATTTTTTTGAGTTTTTGTTATAAGAATAGTGTAATATTTAAGCTTGTTTGTCTGACTTATTTCATTTAATATTATGGTCCCAACTTGTATTCATTTACCTATGAATGCCTCAAGTTTATCTTTCTTTATGGCAAAATAGTGTTCCATTGTGCATAAATGCCACATTTTCTTTATCCATTCACCTCTTAATGGGCATATGGGCCATTTCCAAGACTCAGCTACTATGAATTGTGCTGCTATGGATATGGGTATGCATGTATCCCAGTGATGTCTTCAACTCCTTCGGGAAGAAATCTAGAAGAGGAATAGCTAGGTCAAAAGGAATTTCTATTTTTAGTTTTTTGGTAACTCTCCATTCCGATTTCCACTGTGGTTGTATTAGTTCACACTCACCAATAATGTAGAAGTGTTTTTTTCTTCCCTGTATTCTCACCAGCATTTGTAATTATTTGATTTATTGATAGCCATTCTTTTTGGAACAAGACGATATCACAGGGGCTGGGGATTTAGCTCAGCCACACAGCGCCTGCCTGGCAAGCACAAGGTCGTGAGTTCGATTCCTAGTACCAGGGCGGGGGAGGGGGGAAGGATGATATCACAATGTTGTTTTTATTTTCACTGCTATGGCCAGCAATACTGAACACTTTTTCATATGTTTATTAGGCATTTGTACTTCTGAGAAATGTCTATTCATTTCAGTTGCTCATTTTTGCTTGGGTCTTTTATTTTTTGGGCAGTGTAATATTTTTTCGTTGTCTATATAGTCCAGATAGGAGTCTTCTGTCTGAGGACTAGCTGGAGAATTTCCTCTCCCATTTTATAGATTGTTTTTTCATTCTACTAGTTGTTTGCTTTGCTGTGCAGGTCCAATTTGCTTCCCCAATACCATAGTAATATAAATATACTGATAGATTAAATGAATGTTCTTGCTCCAGTACCTTACTCTGAACTGTCATCTTTATATAATTACTACTAGTTTCATGCTGATGGGGCAGGGGCAGCTGATTCATAAAAAGTAATGGGCTGAGGCTGTGGAGGTAATCTGCTTTTTGGGCAAGGTTATTCAAAATACTCTCAGCAAAAAAATGTCTCCTGAAATAGAACTCTAATTACTTTGAGGTTAGGAATAAAGTAGATGACACTGTTTTAAAATAATGACCACTTATTATTATTATTATTTAGTGCATTTATCTTTAATACTTGCAGAGTATATTGAAGTCACTTATTAGCACTAGTGATTTTATTAAGGAACATATTAAGAAAAATGTAATGAGCAATTTTATTTTATCTCATTGTTAATGTCTCAGTAAAGCATTTTAGTGATTAGACTGTGTTAACTGATAATTAGTTTCCTCCATTAGATTTTTTTATTAGGGGTGTTTGTTAGTGGCTGAATAAGTATGTCATAGTAGTAACTGGTCCTTATGGCCTTGAGAAGGACATTGAGATTCTTTATAGAAGAATTTCTGTCTTTTCAAAATGATATACAATTATTATCTGTTAATTAAAATGTTTAAATAATGATCCTTTGGTACTCCTTCAGGAGCTGATGGATGACTCACCTAACCCAGGTGCCTGCTATTTCTCTTCTTTAGTTAATAATCATCTTCCACCCTGACATATACTGAAGACCTGAGCACAGACTGGTGTGTGAAGCATTGCTCTGGCGGTTTAGAGTAATTAAGCCGTGGGTCACTGATTTATGAAATCCCCGAGGTGGCCACGAGCATTAACTGTGTTCTCAGCAGCTTTGAACATAAAACTCCTTACCGCCTCCAGTCTCTGCACTTCCCCCGGCCCATGGACTCCAGGATCGCAGAGCGTGAGGACTCCAACGTCATTTGGTTTATTCTCTCCACAGTTTCGCTCCAGGCTTTCCCTCAGAGGCTTCCTTGTGGGTACACACATCCACAAAAGGACATTTGTAGGGATTGGGGGACTAAGATAGTTTAGATAATCACATCAGCTGTTTATTAGGTGCATCACATGTAAGAACATTAAATCTCTCTGATTTAATCCTCACACTGACACTTGTGGTACACACCTGGAACTTGAACCTCAGTCCAAATGACACTAAAATTTGCCTATAACTGTGATGCCGGACTAAAACGCCATGAGACCAGAAACAGGTTTATTTGTTAGCAGAGTTCCTTCTACCTATTGGGTGTTTGTTGAATGAATGAAAAAAAAATTAGTGAGATTTAGAAAACAAGACTTCTTTTGTTTTTGTTCTTGTTTTTGACAATGCCAAGGAGCAAATCCAGGACCTTGCACATGCTAGGCAAGTGCTTTTTCTCACTCCCACCCTTGTTCCTCAAGTTTAATGTAAATTGTGTTCTTTTATTTATCGTGACATTAGGGAGAAGCGTAATTTGTTGATATTCTCTTTGTCAGAGGATGTAATGTTAACTTGGCAACTTTCGGTTCAGTTTGCAGTCTAGTTTTCATAATCATTTCTATTTTTCCTCAGCTCATCGTTCTGCCATTCGAGTAAGCTGTCATGTATACCAGTGCTTTGACGAAGGTTTTCAGTGTTAAAAGCTTGGTTTCCCATGAGCATTGCAATTTAAATCAAATTAGATGTCAGATTTTTCTTTTAATTAAAGTCTTCACAAAGTAGTGTATTCATAGATTTTAAAGGTGACTGTCTTTTTATTTATATAATATTAGGGAAAGGCAAAAATAAGCACTAGGATATAGTTAGTTTTCTTTCTTATGTACAAATCTACAAATGACCAATGACTGATGATCATAGTGTTGTGTCCTACTTCTGCTACAGGGCTTTTGAGAGGATCTCTCTTAAGTAACCCTGGATGACTCATCTCCAAGCTAGAGATCACCCAGCATCTGTGGTCTGACACATTATCCATTGTGCCAGTGGCCCTGTACTGTCACCCACCTTCTGAAAGGTCCTGGCTTCAGTGGTTGCAGGGGATTCAGCTTTGTTCTGTCATAAGCTGGTTTCCCTGGCTAGTGAATCCTAATTATTCTTCAGGTTTAATAGAGCAAAAGCTCGAGTTTGTGCTTCTAAGGCTCTTGTTGTTAATAACTTTCTGACCTTATTTTGGCTTCTGGGCAAGAACAAAAAGAGAAAATTCATAGTTTAAAAAAAAAAATCCTTTTTTATTTTAAAAAGAAAAGAGCAAAACAAAGACAAAAACAACACAGCCCAGAAACTATAAAATATGATACAGAATTTCAAAATAAAATGATAGGAAATCAACAATGGTTGTTGCATTACTTATTGTTATCTTCAAAGTAATTGTTCAGATTACCAGATATAGGCACGCAAGAGTGATCAAACAATTAAACATTAACTGTTCCTTTCAATAAACCAATAGAAAAAAAAATTCCTGGTCTAAATGAAGACCTCGCTGTTGTATTTATTTTTCAATTAATGTGTGTTTTCTGTCAGTCTACTGCAAAGCCTGGGGCAGTGGTGTTTTGCTTAGCTGTGTGAGAAACCCTTTCCTCTCCCACTGCCCTTTGATGCGATAGTTACGTGGGCTTCTTAATTTTAGTCACCGAGATTGAAACTCCTGTTTAATCTCAGCGATCCTATCGAGATAGCAATTTATGTTAGTGGGTTCAACCAGTTCCTGAAGTAATTCAAATTTTAATTTATATTCATCAATACTGAAATTAAAAACACATGCAAACCATGTTCAACACTTTGGCACAGTTGTGAGTGATTTCTTGACTAGACTCCCCTGATACTTAATCAAATTATTAAATCATTCTGTATCTTTCTGTAGATCTCACAGTCATGGATTTTTTTCTCATAGGATTTATTTCCTAATCCTGATTCTGAAGCATCAGTTAATTTACATTTTCTTCTAATTTGAGGACACTTAGAATAGAAGCTCTTATGCCAATCAAATGGAACCAATCTTTAATACAATGGAACTGTTTTTCACAGCTCTACCATTCTACTGATCTGAGTCAACCTTGCTAGGAGTATTATTCACTGAAAACTTAGTGGGACTATTCATTACCTTGTCCATGTGAACTAAAACATAACTATTCTCTTCTCTCTCCTTTCTTCCATTTCTCCCCCTTCTATTCTTTTTTCTTTCCCCTTCTAACCCTTATTCCCTCCTTCCCCATCCAGGGTCCCCGTGGTCCTGAGGGAGCACCAGGAGAGAGGGGCTTACCCGGAGAAGGAGTTCCGGGGCCCAAGGTAAGAATAGCTTGTCAAGTTGGAAAATGTGCTCTGTCTTGCATAGTCATGAATTACAAAAGTTTTAAAATGCCACTTATCATATGTCAAGTATTTTCCTGACTATTTGCACCCTGTTAAGTGAAGTAATATGTCAATTTCCCCTGAGGGTGAATTGTAATTATTATTTAATTTTTTTTAATTTTAAAGAGAGTAGTAAAAGAAAAAAAAAGAACAATAGCAGCATACCAACATCGCAAACATAAACAAAACAAAGCAAGCACATTAACAGTGACACAGGGTTTTAAAACAAAATGATAGGAATTAACAGTGGTTGTTATATTACATATTGTTATCTTCAACTATGTTGCTCACATTACCAGATGTAAGAATGGAAGATTGTTCAAACCATTAAAGAGAATAAAAACAAAATTAGATAAAACATTAGAGATAATACAGAGTTTCACCAGACAAGATGGTAAGAATTTATGAAATTGTAATTATAAAATAAGAAATCAACAGAATTCATTTCATGTAACTATCACATATGAAATTACATAGAAAAAGCTCTTAAGGTAGTTTGTAGTTCTTAAAGCTGCAAATGTAAAGAACATTTGTATACCCAGAAGCTGTCATTGGGCATACTGATGGCAACACCTTGCTGGCAGTTTTATTTTTTATGAAATACAGATAAGAAAAAGAGTCTAATGCAACAACTTGTAATAGCGTTGCCATAAATATAACAAGAAAAGTAACTTTGCTACACTACCAAAGTATTAAGAAAGACCTTTGACCTTGAAGATTCAAAGTGTCTTGGCCTTCCCACACATCACTCTGGAAACTCAGGTTCCTCTTCACCAGGGGACGGCCAACTTTTCCTGTCAAAGGGTCAGATCGTAAGTATTTTACGTGTTCTAAACCATATGCTACCTATTGCAAGGACTCCACTGGTTTAGCTGGAAAACAGCCACAAACAGGGTAGGAATGCATGTATGTGGCTCTTCCAAGAAAACTATGTTTGCAACAAATAGGCTGTAGTTTCTTGTCCCGGGTCTGGAGAGTTTATCCAAAACCTAGAGCATATTTGGCAAGGACCCCATAGGAAATGGTTTTCCAAAATACTTCGGGTAATATCAACAAAATTTCAGAGTACGTAAAGATACATTTTGGAATCCTTTCTATTCTTTTCTACAAACTTTTTCATAAACACACGTGTGCACACACAGGTACGCACTTCCCAGAGAGCCACGGCTGATTTTTAGTGTCTAAGATCTTTCATATCAGTTATTCTGCCATCTCACCTTCTCAATATGGCTGTGCTCTCAGACTGCACCTCAGTCTCAGACTTTTCCAATATGGTCAATAACCACTTACCTATGAGAAACTTTAACCTTACTAGAGGGAGAACAGTTAGCTAAAACATAAGATTTATACTAACTTCATTTGAATTTTGAAAGAAGTCTTCATTAACAAATTAAAATCTATCACAATAATGGAAAAAATATGTTGGATATAAATGTGACATTACTAATGCCCCTGACTAAACAAAGTAGTGCTCTTAGAAAACAGGGGTCAGCAGTTTTGCATTACATTTCAGAAAATTTTATAATATATAGTTTCTTGAACTTTTTTGGCACATAGAAAATTTCTTGTTATGTGTAGTTCAAACAAACAGGATCTGTATGTGGCTAATTTGCAATGATATAAGAAGCAAGTAAGTAAAATTATAGATATACCAAGGCACATTACTATATTTTCTTAGGTTCCTTGAAAATATTATTTGATTTTACTTTTTGTTATAATAAATTCATTAAATGAATGCCATTTGTTTGACTAATGTGTTTGTTTCATAGACAGACACAAAATGTTATGATTTCATAAACATTGCTTTAAGAACAGTTAGGTCACGAACATATGTCATAAGATTAAAGAAGCACATATAAGATTTTTGCATGTATCCTTCTAAACCTAAATTTTCAATGAATATTTATAACTTTAGATATAAAACATTTAGAAAATAATTCATTGCTAGCAAATATTAGTTCACATACAGTATAAGAGACAAATTTCATGTGAAGGATCCAATTTCAGCAATATTAAGGAAAAGGAGGCTTGATCCAGTTATTTGCACTGCATGATTAATATGTTAGGACCCAATTTTAGATATTTCTGTTGAAATTGGGAGTTGAGCTCTTTTCCAACTTCAGTGATGCTACAAATATGTTCTGCTTAGACAGACTCCTTCCTGATTAAATGTTATGACTATTTTTTTGCAAGTTGCACACATTAGAATCAAAATTATTCATTTGGAGTGAGCAATGAATTTGGATGCTTTATTTAAAATAATTTTGAAACACAATTCATAGTAATCATAATGTAAACTCTTTGATAATCCTTATTTTTATTAGTACACTGATATCCTTCCCATGCACTTTCAGGGTGAGAAGGGTTCTGAAGGACCAATTGGCCCCCAAGGACTACAAGGCCTATCAATCAAAGGGGACAAGGTATTGTACATAAAGTCTATAATAGAAACTGTATTTGTCACTCTCTTATTGCTGGAAAATAGAAAAAATACCTGAGGAGAAGTTTTTATTTTGGCATATGGTTTCAGAAATGTCAGTCTATAATCAGTAAATTCCCGCACAGAAACAGCATGCCGGAAGGGACTGGGAAGAGGAAAGCTTTCATAGGACAGCCAGGAAGTAGAGAGAAAAAGGAGGAGCTGAGAACTAGAGTACATCCTTCCAGGTCATGTCTCTGGTGACCCCCTTTTCTAACCAGGTCCTACTCCTAAGAGCACATCTGGCCATGAACTTATCAATGGATGAATCCACTGATAAGTATAGCACCCCCAGAATTTAATCAATTTCCAAACACATGAGGCTTTTGGAGGACATTGTAGATCTAAACAATAACATTCCACCCTTGGTCCCCAAAAGCTCATGTCCATCTGATGCAAAAGGCATTTAGTTCGTATTTAAGAGTTGCCAAAGTTCTCACAGTTTTAGCATTGCTGAAGAATCTAAGTCCAGAGTCTCCTCTGAGACTCAAGGTAGACTCTTAGCTGTGAGCCCTTATAAAAATCAAACAGAAAGGTATATATATCCAACATTGAATGACACAGGGTAAATATTCCTCTTCCAAAACACAGAACTATGGGGATAGAAAGAAATGAGACCACGACATGACTGAATCTCACAAACCAAATGTTAAATCTTGTAGCTCCATTTCCAGCACCCAGGGCAGTTGAGGCAAGATGTAAATTTCAAAGGGTTTGGCCTACAGCATTGCTGGTTGTAGCCCACGTGGCCTCTCTCTTGAGCTGGCTCTGCTTACTGCCTTTGGCTTTCTTCAGCAGATGAGTCATGTTCCTGGCGTCTACAACTTCCTAGGTCTCTACTGCACATATGGCTTCACTCTCACAGCTTCATGCATCATTCTGTCAAGGGTACACTGCTTGGCCTCCACGTCCTCCCTTTGAAATGTAGGTGGAAGCCTCCATGACCCTGTGACTCTTTCATTCTGCACACCTGTAAACCAGCACCATGTGAACGCCAAGGTCTGTCACCAGCTCAAGCAGCAGCCAGACCCCCATAGACCAGGCTGCAGCAGCTTCTGACTACCTGCATGGCTAAACGTGAGAACGAATAAACTTCACTCTATGGCTCTGAATGAGCAGGATACCCTGGGTTTCTCTTCTCAAATGAAATGTTTATACTTTTGTACCTTTGACTCTGCCATGGGTGGGGCCTTGCTGATGTCTGAGATGCTCTCAAGACATCTTTCTTCTTGACCCTGTACAAAGCACTTGGCCTCTTTTTAATGCTGATATTTTCAGCAACCATGTTCTCCTTTGCGCCAATTTGGCAGATGCTTCCTTTCTGGTAAAACTTCCAACTATTCAAATCATTCAGCTCTGCCATTTGCTCCTGATTCTCACTGTAGATCTAGCTAAAAGCAGCCAGCAGTACCCATGTTACAGCCTGAGTGTTTGGCTGTATCTGAATTTCCTCTGTTAGATTAATTAGCCTGACACCTCAAAGCCTTAGGGAAAAATAAAGAAAAATTTCTGGCAAAGTGTAATACATATGGCCTCTAATCTAACTGCCAGTGGAGTTTTAGTACCTAGCTGAAACCTCTTGATTCTGGTTATTACCATTCTTATCTTCTGAGCTCTGACCAATATCACCCATGAAGCAATGTTCACAACATTCTATGGTTTCTCTAACCCACACCTCTAATCTTTTCCAAACTCCTTCTGTAAACAAGTTCCAACAGCTTCTGAACTACATGGTCAGGTACACATAACAGAGGCTCCACTAGCTGTACCAATTTTCTCAATATACCTTATACTTGGAATTTAATATACTCTATATCTGCAATTTAAAGAGGGAGAGGTTTATTTTGGCTTACAGTTTCAGAAGTTTTAGTTCATGGTTAGCAGGCTCCAAAGCAGGCACAGTGTGGTGGAAGGGCTTTGTGCAGTGAATCTGCTCACACTGTGACAGCCAGGAAGCACAGAAAGAAGGGAGGAGCCAGGGTCAAGAGTTCACCCAGTCACATCCCCCGGTGACCCACACTTTCCAATCAGGTGCCCTCTCCTAAGAGCACATTCAGCAATGGTCTTTTCAGTGGGTGAATCCGCTGGACAGTATAGTGTAGTGCCCACAATGTAATTGCATAAAGACTTTTGGAGGACATTATAGATCTAAACTGTAGCATAAACACTGCCAATACAATTATTTTGTCATTGATCCTTCTGTAGGTACATTTTTGAATTGTATATAATATGACAACCATTTTACCCAGGTGCCCAGGAAATTATAAACCTACTATATGGAAGTTATATTGCTATGTGGGATGAATCATAATCTGGAAATTCCTGTTATTTATATTTAGAGCAATGCCTTTTTATTTAGATTCTAACTTCCAGTGACTTTTATGATCAGCAACCACCTTTAAAGGCAGACATTTATAAAAGACACCTCTTCTTTAGTACAGAAAATAGTTGTGAAAGGCATTGACTTGACCTCATCACAGGACAGTATGTCTTACTTTCAAATTCTCATTCAAAAATAGTACTTTAAAATGAGGGTAAAAGAAGGGGACTCAAGTAAGAAAACTCAAGTATCAAAATTGTTGATGCCCTCAGCAAGGACCAATAGAAGTTCACCTACAAGTGGGCAAAGGTTTATTGACTCACTGCATAATGGAGACGGTGAACTTTGGGGAACTGACAGCAACTCTGGGTGAAGATGAAGGAGGAGGGGTTTCCATAGGATTTGGGCTTGTCTTAGGAAGCTTGGGGAGTAGTCAAGAGAGTGCAGGTTGGGTCTGGATTAAATGCCATTAGGAAGTGGGGATAATTTTGAGACTGAATCTCATCCAGGAGCTTCAAAAACAGACTCAGGCTGAATTGCAATTGGTAAAGAAGAAGTAGCAACTCATTCCAGCTAGTGTAGGGTGCTACTTGGGTGCTTTGTGGGGATTTGGACAGTGTTTGTTGTTTTGTCTGTGCTCAGATGAGATTACAGAGTGGTGTTGCTTTTGCCTTGGTCCACGGCTTTGTTTGATGTTGACAGTCTGTGAACTTGTTTATGTTCAGCATCACATTCAGGGTGAGGTCAGCTCCTGTGTGTCAGATGTTGCTTGATCCTCTTTCTTCCTCCTTTCCTCCCTCTCTCTTTCTTTCTGTCTTTCTGTCTTTCTTTCTATCTATCTATCTATCTATCTATCTATCTATCTATCTATCTATCTAACTTCTTTCTTGAGACAGGGTCTCACTTTGTAATCAGGCTAGTCTTGAACTCATTATGTAGCCCAGGCTGACCTTGAATTTGCAGTGATCCTTCTGCCTCAGCCTTTTGAGTGCTGGGATTACAGGCATGTGCCGCCTTGCCTGGCTTTATTCTTTCTTACCAGTAACTTGTTTTATTTAAAATATCTGCACATTATAGGTTTCCCCAAAGATAAGACCTAGCTGGAAAATAATTACCCTTGAAAACTAAAGAACAAAAATGCCAACCCCAGTCAGCTTATCCTTGCCTTACCTGCCCTACAGAGTAGCCACTGAGCCAGAGAATAGTGATACAGGTAAGGCTGTCTATATTTAAATAACAGAGATAATGATGAATAGTGAATGATATAAATGTTAGATGTAATGCAATTTTCAGTTCAAACAGATCCATTCTGGTTGCAATTGCAGCTGCAAAATATGTGAAGATGAGCTTTCTTCTTTTAAAGCAGTGAGAACCAAGTACAACAGACAGAATTGTTGTTTTATGAGTTCAGTAAATTAACTTTTCCAAGGGTTGTTGTGACATGGCATTTGTGTTTCTCCATCTGGAGCTGGTGCAAAGAAAACAAATTATACTATCAGGACATTACCGCATGGAGCAAAGCTTTTATTTACTCTCCCATTAGCAAGTCAGGGCTGTCGCCTCTTTTATTCCTTTGTAGATGAAGGAAAAATAAAACATAACCCTGCAGAAACAGTTTGTTACCAGTTGAGAGACCAGCTATATCTGTAGCCACTCCTGCACACACACATAGCCCACGTACATATTAACTACCTCTCTAAGTTTCACAAATCCAGCCTTAGATCCACTGAAAAATTTACCTGGACAGCTCCTTGGAAGTTCACTCTAAAGAGGCAACACATACTGACCAGTCCACAAGGCTGAAGCCTGAGTTCAGCGTTCACAGGATTGCTCTATCCTATTCTCCTTGATTTTTGTGTCTTTTCAGGCTGCTTATCCTAGTCCTTGCTTCCCTGACCTCTGCTAGCTGTGGGTTTTGTTAATTGACCTGGATTCTGCTTCCTGCAGCTCTTATTTCCCTGTCTCCTGCTAGAACTCCTTCACTACCTTGCCAGAGTAATGTTATAGAACAGCAGGCCTAAATTATGTCTCTCCCTGAAAAGCAGCTCAGGGGAAAACCCTATAATAAGACAATCTTTGGGAGCTTGGCTAGAGCCCACCCTAGGGTCACTGACAACCCTGTTACTGCTTCTCATTGGACCTTGTCTCAAAAGATCACATGTAATGTGCCCAGAAAGATTTGCTGGGGAAACTAAAAGAGGGAAAAATGTAACAAAAAATGCCCGCCCTCCAGCCCCCTGACAGTGTACTTCAGTTTGTTAGTTGTCCAGGTAACAGTTCCTGTTCCAGATCTGGTTGTTCCTGTCTCTTAGAAACAGCTGGTGACTATGATGCACATTGTATAAACCAATGCCCAATTGTCAAGCCAGTCTGCCTCAGTACTTCCTGCTTGCTTATCCCATAGAAGCCCTAGACCTCCAGAGATCAACGCCTGATATCTTGAGAATCATCCCGATCAGTGCCCGTTGATGTAAAATAAATCTGCCTCCAAATCCTAGGTGTGGTTTTGGTGTTTCTGCTTGCCGTTGTAAGAGCACACACATATATGCATTATATTTATATATGCAAAGAAGTATTTAAGACATAGATATTCAATTATAAATAACTGCACAAAAGGGATCTTATGTGTGTGTTGAGTATTTGTAGAATGTTTACTCAGGTTGGTTCTGTGGACTTGAATCTCACCTCTGTCATCTAACAGTGGTAGGAACTAGATGGAGTGGGTTACTTAATGTCATCTGGAAGATGAGAACAGCCACTGCAGGGGGTGTTGGGAGGGCTGCCGGACTTAAACTATGAAGAGTGTTTAGTGCAGTGAAACCTGTGTGTGTGCAGTCCAGTTCTGAGTCAAATAATTCAGTTCTGAATCAAAACTCGACTCCATAGTATTTTCTTACTTCATCTATCATCTATCTATTTATCTATCATCTGTCTATCATCTGTCTATCTATCATCTATCTGTCTATTTATCTATCATCTATCTGTCCATCGGTCATCTATCTATCATCTGTCTATCTTTCATCTGTCTGTATGTCTACCATCTATCTACCTATCATCTATCTGTCTATCACTCATCTGTCTGTTTATCTGTCTATTGTAGATCTATCTATGTATCTATCATCTACCTGTCTATCTATCATCTGTCTGTCTATCTATCATCTATCTATCTATCTATCTATCTATCTATCTATCTATCTATCTGTCTATGTATCTATCTATCTATAATGGGAGTTGAACCTGAGGCCATTGCATATAGCTCAGCATTTTAAATATTTTAAAAAAGATAATTTTGAGAAATGTCTCACTAAGTCACTGAACTGCACAGGCTGGAGTCAAACTCACAGTCTTCTTGCCTTGGCCTCCTTGAGCGCTGGGATTACGGGTGTGCACCACCATGCCTGGCCCGGGATATTTATTGAGACCAAGCGTTGATGCTAAGCGAAACACTAAGAAGTATATTCTGGGTGTGTCTCAGTGCATGTTTAACATACTTTAATATTATATGGAATGAGTGCTTTTGTTCACAAAGACGTTTATTTAGCCCCAGCTGTCTGTCTGTCTGTCTTTTAAAATAATACGTCATTGGAGCACAGACATACTTGTTCATTTAGGCATTATCTGTGTCCCCTTTCACTACACCAAAGCAGCACTGGTCCGTAACAAATGTGGTTTATTTTTGCCCTTAAGCCAAAAATCGACAGTTTAAGAAAAAAATTTGTGAACCTTGATGTAGTCAATAGATAACCGTCACTGCAATAAGCAGGCTTACTCCTGTCGCTCCATCTAATTGTCAGTGCTTAGCAGTCAACTTGCTTGACCTATCAGGAGCACGTAGTGATCCCTTGGCTTCCAAAAACCTCTTCGCGTCTTCAAGCCCTCCCTCTGGCTGCTGCCCGTCGGTCTGCGCTGTTGCTCTGCCGTCATTTCTCTGGCTCCAGTGGTTGGCAGTTATAACGCACTCAGTCCTCAGATTTTCTTTTTCCTGTCTCTTGGTGTAGTCACCCAGTCGTGGCATTAAATCCTGCTGTTCTGCCATAGGACCCCATTTATATCCGCCGCCCAGACCTCTTGCACTCACACGGTAGCTTCACTTAGACGTCTGTCTTAAGCATCTCGGACTTAACACAGCCAAAAGAGATCTCCTGATTTCACCTCCAGCCCCAGTCTTATCTCTCAGGCTTTTCCTTCTCGGTGAATGACAACAACCTCAGAGGCATCCTGGCCTCCGCTCTCCCTGCAGCATATTCTGCTGGTGCCACCTTCCAGATGTACCCAGGATCCGAGTACTCTTCACCTGCTGTGCTGCTGACATCCGGGTCTGTGCCCCTCAGATCTCTCTCACGCAGACCCTAGTTCAGCCTCTCCTCAATACACCGCGATGCTGACTCACGTGACTCTCACTTCTGCTGAAAACCCGCACCAGTGCTTCCCCATAGAACAGCCGAGTCCTTATCATTGTCTCACAAGCCCCGCTGGTCCTCCTGCCTGGCACACTCCCGCACTTCTCTGCCTTCGTCATCGCTCATGGTCGCCAGCTGCACCCACAGCGTCTCCCTGCTGTTTCTGAAGTGTGCCAGGCATTGTCTTTGCACTGGCGGTTTGCTCTGCCTGAGATACTTCTCTGCAGATTTCTTCTGGCTCATTCTCTCCATCCTAACCACTGTATCCAAAATTGTCACTACCTCCCTGCTTCCCTAATTAATTTTTCTGCTTAGCCCTTATCATTATTCAGTGTGCTATTTATTTTATCTATTTGTCTTTCATTCTACCTTCTGTTTTTCTTACTGAAGTGTAGCCTGCCGTGGTGGCGCACGCCTGTAATCCTAGCACTGGGGAGGCTGAGGCAGGAGGATTGTTGCGAGTTCCAGGCCAGCCTGGGCTACAAAGTGAGCTCAAGGCCAGCCTGAACTGCATAGGCAGACCCTGTCTCAAAAAGACAAAAATAAAATAAAATAAATAAAATGTAAGCTCTGTTGGGGACATTTTGGACCGTTTTAGCCACTGTTGTTTCCCGATGTTTGGAATAGTTCCTGGCCCAAAATGGTCACTTAACAAATCTTTGTAAAGTGAATGAGCGATATTGTCCACATTGAGAGTTCTCACTTGATTTTCTTAATCTAGTTCATGGAAGAGATGGTGGAGTTTTTAAAATTTTGTTGCCTTCTCTTAGATCATTTCTTAATTTTCAAAATACAAGATTTGGAGAGAAAATTATTTAGAAAATATTAAAATAGTTTTATTCATTTTCTTTCAAATTCTAGTTTTCTTTGACTGCATGAATTCTATATTAACATTTCTGTTTTCAGCCCAAAAGGAAGTGTTTACAACTAGTCAAAAATTTTGAGTTGGGAGGAAAATGGTTGCTAAATATAAACGGATACAAATACTAATAATTTTGTACTATTCAGCCAAAATGTCATTACTGTTTTGGCAAATTTGAACTATAAACTGCTCAAAAGGAATCATTTATGATTTTATGATTTTCCATTTTGGTCAATTTTGTAGTGTAAAGATAGATTTAAACCTAGTCTAGTTCCAGAGTAGCAAAGCATGAAAGAAGGTTTTGTTTATTTTTATATTTCTGACATTTTCTTTACAGGGAGATTTGGGACCTGTGGGACCCCAAGGGCCAGCAGGCGTCCCTGGCATTGGTAGTCAAGGGGAGCAGGTAATTTATGGTTTCTTCCTTTCCTTTAATATAGAACATTCTAGCCCCCTTTTGGTATTCGTTGAAAGCCAGCACTGCAAATGTTTGTGAGTATATTTGACGGTCAAGTTGCAATGGAATATCAGACCAGAAGTGAAAGGGGGAAATTATGAGATAGTTGCACTAGATCTTAGTTTTAGAATTTTTAAAGATTTAAAAAATAAATTAGCTGGGCATAGGGGCACATGCCTATAATCCCAGCACTAGGCAGGCTGAGGCAGGAGGATCCTTACTAGTTTGAGGCTAGCCTGGGCTACAAAGTAAGAACAAGGCCAGCCTGAATGGCATAGTGAAATCCTGTTTCAAAAAGACAAAGGAAAAAAAAATTTGTGTGTTTCTTGGTGCTGTGACTGTTGTTAAAATTAAAAAGTACTTGACAGTATAAGGGTTTGGGGACAATATTTATATTTTAGGTTCCTTCTGGAAGAGTAATCATAGTTTATTTACCTGTTAGTTTGTTTTTTTTCTCTTGAAGCTCTGAGAATAATAAAATCTTACTTTTTTCAATGCCAGTGGAGTAGTGTTTCCTACCTTAGAGCCACATACCAGTGTAAAAATAGTCTTAAACTTAAAACAAGGCCCAGAATCACAGGTAAACAGTTATTAAAGGGACATTCTTCCTAAATAGAAACAAATCATAGATAGTGCTTATAAATGGCACCTGCCTTCTCTCGGTCAAAAGAAAGATCTCTCAGGATATTTCTCAATTTGGGGCTGGAACTGCTTCCAAGGCCTTTCAATAACTTTTGCAAAGGCTGTAAAAACTCTAAATCTAATGTGTTAAATCTATTTCTTTCTTTCTTTCTTTTTTTTTTGTCTTTTTGAGACAGAGTCTCGCTATGCAGTTCAGGCTGGCCTTGAGCTCACTTTGTAGCCCAGGCTGGTCTCGAACTCGCAACAATCCTCCTGCCTCAGCCTCCTGAGTGCTGGGATTACAGGTGTGGGCCACGGCGACCGGCTATATTAAATCTAAATAATGTCAAGATAGCGTAAGAGCACTCTTGACTATTACTGTTTACTGTATACTTTTATCTACACAGGCTTATTTAGTCAAAACCACAAATAAATTCAGATTTATTCTCCTGGTTAGAAAATGGCAAGTCAGTCTGATTAAAATTTATGGTTGGGTTTTGAATTATTACATTGTCTAGAAAATGAATAGTTCTTCCTCTATGTAGGATAATGAGAAAAGGAATTTGAAACATGGTATAATTCCAAATCTCATGGTTGGCACTCAGCTTTGAGTTTATTTCTAACCATCTGCTAATTTATTACTATTTTTACTACATATTTTAGTTAGCCCAAGCCACAGGAAAGTTGGATATTACTCTTTTTTCCATTTCCTTGCCCTTGACAAAATTTTTAGAAAAATATGTTAAGGAGGATTAAAGTGCAGAAGGAGCCAATATAAACCTGAAAGTAAATATTTAGGTAATAATTAAGACCTGGGTATTTTGACCGCGCAAGGACACTGGTTTGACTAGTACGAGCATTCTCAAGCTCTTCGGCGTGCTGCTTGGTTTAGCAGGGTTTATTCTCATCCTGGACGTTCTGGGCAGTACTGCTGTGCTTGGGGACTTGCAGTTCCTGGTGCCGAGTCACTGCTGTGGGGCTGAGAACGAGGTTGAAAGGGAGTGGGTCTGCCCAGGAGGTCGGTGGATTCTGAAGCTCCCACTTGGAGTTTCCGTTGCCTGTAGTGCTGGTCTGTCTCGGCTGTTTTTCTCTCATTGCTGAGACAAAATACCTGATACCCAGAATTAAGCAAGGAAAGGTTTGTTTAGCTCACAGTCTGTGGAGGTTTCAGTCCATACTAGGCTGGCTGCAAGGCAGGGTGGCATGTGGCAGAGGGCAACAGTTCATGGTGGTGTAAAGCAGCAAATGCAGCAAGTGTAAAAAGGAAGGAGCAACAGTGAGGAATCCTCTTCCCCTCCCTTATACTGTATGCAGACTACCCGCCCCAGGGAGGGTGTAGCACTCACACCCATCATCCCACCATTGGAGCATGGATCAATCAAGTACTCTAGAAGCCCACTCCATGACAGAATGAGGCTTTGGGGGGACATCTAGACACAAACCATAACATGGTCCTGGATGGAGGTTGTTCTGCGGCTTACAAACAAAACAGTACAAAACAAAAAACAGACAAAACAAACAGAACTCAAACCAAACCAAAAGACCCCCCAACCCAACCCAACCCAACCCAAACCCAAACACCCTGTTTGACCTTTGACTTTTTTCATTTTCTTTTCCCCTTTGCTTCTTTAACAAGAGAAAAATATTTGAGACAAAAGTGGCCTAGAGATCTGACCCCACTGGATAGGAGAGTAAATGGAATACAGTCTTTGTAAACTGCTCTGCACAAGAAAAGAATGTGTTTTTTCCTTTAAAACAGCTGATATAAAATCTACTTAACCTGGGTTCATGTATTCAGTTTTGTTCTCATCCTTCATTTAAAATGCTTATCTATTTAATTCTTGGGCTTATGATTTCTATGTCTTTTATAGAAATAAAGCTTCCCACTCCTCTGCTCATGAGGGAACTTCAGGTTCCAGAAGCATGTTTACAATTTCTTTCTAGCAGCCTGCAGATTTTCATTTAATATTTGGAGGTTGATCACCTTAGATGTTGTATAAAGTGGACTGTAAATGACCACACACACAGATGTCCACATCCCATAAATTTTTTCCCTTGTCACATTGTGTGCTGCTCACAGATGACTGTAAAAGTCAGAAAATGTTCCTTCTTGTACCTGTGTAATATTTATAGTGTAGTGACCTTAGCCTTCCTAAATGGTTTTGTCTGTTCACCTTCATTAATCAGAGAAAAAGATAATGGTATTTGCATTTTAAAATTGCACAAGAGTTATATTATCTAACTGTAGAAAAAGGGTGACATTTGTTACGTTGTAATACTTTGATGGTATAAAGATAACATTGTATCTGTAAACATGTTTGCACAACTACGGTTGGTGGAATGTAAGCAGAACAGACTTTTAGTTTTTTCTCTTGTTACTCTTTCACAATTCATTTTCAGTGGGGATATTTCTTTTTTGCCTGCCAAGGAAAAGTTGATGATTTGATGTAAAATGCAAATCTTAGATTCAATTCTGTAGCAAAAACTCTGTAGTTGATCTATTAATCTTTCCTTTAATCTTCGTTATCTGGTACAAGCTGCAGGGAGAATGGATTTCTCTCCCCTCTTCCCCTGGTTGGGGAACGGCATGGAGGACTTTTCTTGATTGGCGCTGTGGTCTGGAGCTTTGGATGCTCAGGGCTTGGCAAGTGTGTGAGGCTGATCTATTTTTGTGGGGCTCCTGGACTGCCCCTCCCGGGGTGTGGATGGAGGCTTCCCTTCCTCCTGCCTCTGCTTTTCTCGGGGCTGACTTTCTCAGTTGGGGCAATTACACATCCAGGTATCTGGAGCAAGATTCATAATAGTTCCAGGCCACCTTGGTCTCATACCTAGCGTGCCATTTGTCTAGAGGAAAATGTCCTGTGGCTCTTGTCCTGATAGATTCTGGATGAACAGGGTGCTTCCACTCCAGTTTCTTGTGCCCACCATGGGCCAGTTGAACTTTCTCAGTCCTGAGTCAGACCCATGTGTTCCCAGAAGAGAACCCAAAAGGTCCAAGTCCTCTCTCTGGAGTGTAGCAATGTGAGAAGGAATTCAAGCCCTTTCCATTTTCTACTAAGAAAACTCCTTTATAATTTGATTACTTTCTTCGGAGAAGAGCATTACGAGTCCTCTCTCTCTCCCTTTCACATCCACAGTGTGAGGGAGGGAATCAAACGTCTGCCTGTTCTCCAGCTTGGTGTCTGCTGGCCATGGCTTCTTAGAGCCCAGACCAAACTTTCAACTTAACACATGTCATTTGGCCTAACTAGGACACAGGTTTGCCTGCATGTGACAGAAATGTGAATTGGGCTGACAAGATGGAATCTCACGTTTGAGGATTTAAAAGTCTATGTAAGGGTGGTGAATCTGTTTATCGGTGTTGTTAGGGGGTCAGGCTTCTTCATTCCTGTTATTTATTTATTTATTTGGTCTTTTTGAGGCAGAGTCTCAGTGTGCAGTTCAGGCTGGCCTTGAGCTCACTTTGTAGCCCAGGCTGGTCTCAAACTCGCAACGATCCTCCTGCCTTAGCCTCCCGAGTGCTGGGATTACAGGCATGTGTCACCACGCCCGGCTTCATTGCTGTTAATCTGCTATCTCCTAGTCTGACCTAGGACCTCCACCATCGCTTCATTCTGCTCCCTGCGGAAGGAGAAAGACTAAGGATGGCCACCACCTCTTCCTTCGATGTGAACCGGAAATTGCATACCTCCCTCCATTCACATCTCATTGGTCGGAGTGTAGTCCACACGGCCACGCCTGGCTGCACTAGGAACTGGGAAACAGTCCTTCCTTGGAGGCATCCATGTGGGCCAGCTAAAATTTTCTTCCTGTAGGAGAAAGGAAGAAGCCATATTAGCACTTGCCTGGAGGCTTCTGCCATTCCGTTTAACAGACGTTTATGTAGTATGAATGACCTGTTATGGGGTGTGAACTAGACTTTCACTTTAGAGGACATTGTTAACCAAGTATTTTCTTAATTTAACCAATAACATCTTTATGAAATCTTGTTTTAAAGGGAATCCAAGGTCCTGTTGGTCCACCTGGTCCCCAGGGGCCTCCAGGACAAGGTTTGCCTGGTCCCAAGGTAACTATCTAAATGAGATCAGAGTTTGTCGACACTGTCTTTTGTGTTTCCTTGTGGATGTCAGTGCATTTGGATGAGAACAGGGAGAATGACTTTACAAATCAGAGATCTCTGCTTTATGGCAAATGCAACTGATATGCCTAATGATTTAGGAGATGTAATATTTCACGCTTTAAGATTTTACTTACACAATCTTTATTTATTAGTTCCTTTATTATTTTTGTTTCTGAGACTATTCTAGCAACTCAAGCAGCTGTTAGAGGCTGCCCATGGCTCCCTGCTTCTCTAGGTTGGCTGATTTGCATTCTCACCAGTATTCAAGCAGGCCCTTAGTGGGTCCTTAATGCAACCTTAGTTAAAGAGAGGTAATTAGAAATGACCCAATATAGATTTTTTCCATGTGAACTTTGGATTCAAATTATCTTTAAAATAGAACTATTCGTTGTATCTTTAGGAAAGGTCTGATATTTATTATTTAAGTAGCTACCTTTAATCTAGCTTGAAGGAACTGCTAATCATTGTTAAATAAATCAAATGCTTCTTGTAGTTCATTCACCTGAAAACACAAGGCTTATTTTTGCTCAAAAGAGAAGCAGCTCAGTAGATCCCTATTGGGCCCTTGAGGCTTTCATCCGGGGCCCATCACCGCAAGCTCAGGTTGTTCTTTGTGCTTATGATGCTGTCCTTGATCACTCGTCACCTTGGCTTCTGATGTGTCCATTTTAGTTGTTCTAGAATGTAACTGCTTAACTTTTCTGGGCATCTCCACTTAAATACTCTTTTCTTATTAGGGAGAAGTGGGGCAGATGGGACCTGCAGGTCCTAGAGGACCAGTGGGAATTGGAACACAGGGTCCAAAGGTGAGTTGATTATGCTGCTTGTGTGTCACTGGGCAATTTATAGAATATTATACAGTTTCTCTTATATCCAAATACAATACACATTATGTATGTGTCATCCAACTATATAGAACTTATTTGTCTTGATGTTTTAAATGTGGCTACTAAAAATTATCATTATAGGCATTTCTTGCTTGATATTTCTATTGGATAGTGCTGCTCTAAAATATATGCTTCTCTGGGACAGAGACTTTATCTTGTTTATTACTGAACACTCAGTTATGAGGTCAGGGTAGGTAGTCTATACATACTGCTGAGGGAGTGAGTGAATCCTGCCCTTCACTGTAACTCCTGTAGGTGTGTGGGATCTGACGAGCACACTGAGTACTGAATTTTACCCTTGTTCTGTGGTCCTTGTCATTATTGGGGATTGAAAGAAAATGTAAGGTGTAGGTCTAAGAATACACATGGGACATACTTATAAATGTATACTTATAAAAATGTGTTCATATGGGAATAATAGATGCCATGTTTGCATGTTTTGATGTGCTACATAATATACCAAATGCTTAGTACCATATATGTGTGTGTATGTGGTACATACATATGTGTATATGTAGTCACACATATGATGTCATTCATGTATTAGTTTCAGAAAGGTAGCACACAATACAGTAAGGCTCAGACTCACTGTATGAATTCAAATCCCTGTTCTGCCACCTATTAGATGTGCAATTTTAAGATTCTTTCACTTTAAAAAATAAAATATTTCAAATATTCTCACCAGTACAGATAATAATGCAAAGAATACCCATGTATTCCATATTACCAAATGCTAACACTTTGGTGTATTGACTCAGACCTTTGAAATAAGCGTTGTAGATTTAGTTAGGAGGAGGAGGAAGAAGAGGTGGAGGAGGAAGAAGAGGAGGAGGAGGAGGAGAAGGAGGAGGAGAAGGAGAAGGAGAAGGAGAAGGAGGAGGAGGAGGAGGAGAAGGAGAAGGAGGAGAAGGAGAAGGAGGAAGAGAAGGAGAAGGAGGAGGAGGAGAAGGGGAAGGAGGAGAAGGAGGAGAAGGAGG